TGTCCCTTGCTCTCTCTTTCCCCTGAAGCCTTGCTAAAGCATGCTACTCTGGTACTGCAGTGCCTTGGCCATTTCTTGTTACCTCCATCACAAAGGGCTGTGCTGTTCTGTTTGTGCTTATAATGTACCCAGATGGTGAATAGAATGAGTGACCACCAAGCTCATTTTCACTTGTGGGGTCAGACCTTTCTCTGCTAAATAACACAAGTGTTCCCAGCTGCTGTGCAGCTGGCAGGGAGTCTGCTTTCCTTCACAGGCATTAAAAACCCTTTAATCAGTGTTTGTTGTTTGTCAGCAGTGGTGTTGAGGTGTGGAGAAAAAGAACAGATATGCTTTGTTGGCAAAGTTAACTTCATTCTGACCTCTTATCTTTCCTTTTTCTTTTCAAGTCTGAAGAAGCAGAAAGTAGTTTGGGAAGTGGTTTCTGCAAGCACCTGTGTAAATGTATTTGCTAAAGAAGGAGGTTTTTGTCCTTACACAGATACAACGTTTGACATAAAAAGATGCTCGGAGCGCTACATTGAACTGGAAGCTCTTTAGGGCAGGGACTCAAACTGACTGGTGTAGGAGCTGTGCAGGCTCCCTTAATGTAAGCAAATGCTATGAAAATACAAATACTGTTGTCTAATACTAGTGTTACTTATGCTTATTTTAGTATTGAGTCTACATTCAAGGGATCCCATTTGCAGTCTCGTCAATTTTAACATTTCCCTGGAAAATAGATTGTTCCTGCTAGTTTTTGTGGGGTTTTGTGTTAGAGTGTGTGTGTGGGTTGTGTGTGGTTTTTTGTTTGTGTTTTGTTTTTTTTAGTTCTGCTTTTAATAGTTCTTCTCTCATGGAGGAAAAGGGAGGAGAGAAAAGAACTAAGCCAGTGATGCCATCTCCAGTCCCATTTGTTTTGGATGTAGTCTGTTCTGAAACAAATGGGAACACAGATATCAAGAAGATGCTTTGAGAAATCTCAGAACTAAGATAATTATTTCCCTCTTCTTTCTAGATGAATCTTGGAAACCTGCTGGTGCTGCACATGTTTGCAGGGTTACTTTTTCCCCGAGTCCAGATCTGTTCACATTGCGTGACTGTGTACACAGCACCAAGCACTGCTCTGTGAGTGTTGATTCTGTTGTTTGCAAAGCCTGTTCGTGTGGGTGTCCTGAAGCTGTTAGGACATCAAGCTTTGATTTGAGCTTTGAGGGTCATGATAGGACATCTGGTGTTAAAGGCAGAATACTTTATCTTGCTACTCTTCCCCTGAAGGGACCAGAGAATCATGTTACTGTCTCGGCCGTGTCTTTGGAGGGTTGGTAGCCAGGCATCAAGCCACCTGGTGCACATTGCTCGCAGCCGTCTGCCTGGCTCAGCAGTATCTCCTGCAGTGACCAAGGTGCTCTTTTGGAGCAGGGCTGTGCTCCTTGGAAAAGGGGTGCCTGCTTGCTCGAAGTGGGAATAAAGAACTGGGAATGAGTAACTTACGAATTGTAGCTGTAGCTGTTAAAACAATATACTCGAGTGCTCTCCCCATGGGCAGACACATATTTCAGCGTTCATCCAGTGTTTTTCTTCAAGTGGCTGAGGTTGCTTACGAAGGAGGGCAGTTGTCGTGCTCTCAGACAGGCAAAATGCTAGAAAGAAAACTCTGTGCTGGGTGGAAGGGGATGGGCACTCAAAACAGGTAGTATGTTAAATGTCTCTGGATGGTCTGTGTTGATGATCATTTCTGTAGCATGAACGCTTACCAGCTAAAACGGGACAAAGAACCACCATTTTACTATCTGAAAGCTGGCAGGTCTGCTGAGCAAAGGCAAGGGCTCTGAGCTACAGTGGAGCAGGTGTCCTACTGTAAGGGGGAGTTTTTGAAGCCCTTCAGTAATATCTCCAGGAGATCCAGCCTTTCTGGCAGTGCTGTCTGATCACATGAGAAGAACCCTGATCAGACAGGCATGATCCTGGATCCTTCTGGAAATTAATGCAGACTTACAGTTACAATCTAGCTGAACAAAACAAGCACCATCTTGTGCAACTACGTAAACCATAAACTTTTTTGGCAAGGCAGGTGTGGCATCTTCAGTGTCTGGAAAGCACCTAACGTGCTGTGTGGGCTCCCTACTGTAATCCAAATTACAAATGCTAAAAAGGCTTTGATACTTTTTTTTTTTTATAACGTGGTTCTTGGCTTAATTTGGGTAGGCAAGAACTTCATAGACTGCATTGGGGTGCTCTGCATGTTTCCTCAGGCCCTCATAATTAATCAATGCTGAGCTGTTCCTCCCCATCCCTCTGCGAGGAGGCACCAGAGGAAAGCTGTTCCATAGCCTTAGGTTTAGCTTGTTTGTCAGCCCTGAGAAGGACTTTCTGTTCTTCAGAGATGCCCTTTCTGGAAGGAGGGGTGTTCCTGGCCTGCAAGGCCCCTCTATACTAAATATTTTGGTACAGGTTGCAGAAGGCTTAGGTGAGTTCCTGATACAAGCTGAGTTTTCAGTAAGTTCGTAATATAGTTTGATGCTAAGAACCAGTATTCTAGCTTTTTTGGTGCACCTCTGTGAAACTCAGCTTCTGACACAGGGAATTTACAAAAAGTTTCATGCCAGTAGCTCAAGTCCTTGAAGTTGTGATAAATGGCAGATGCGTGTGTTCCTTCTAAACCAGAATGGCTTCTGTGTTTAACTGAATATTTAATTGCTGTGTGTGCACCATACTGTGCTGTCAGACAGCTCTGCTTTTAAATTCTGTTTATACAGACAGCTGAAAAGCTTTGTGAGTCTTTCAGGGTCTCTGACACACTGGGAGGAAGCTTCAGCATCTTCAGTCTACTGCTTTTTGCTGTATGTTTAGAGTCACTGGTGATCTTTGCACCTCAGGGGCTACAGAAAGACATTATTGTAGCCAGAGCAATTCCAAGCTAACTTGTAATGGTCCAGCCCCTGACAAGAACTAGGCAAAAATCTGGTCCAGCTTTAGTGTTTTTATAGTCTAGTCCAGGTCTCTATAAACCATTTAAAATTGCCTTCAGGTTTAAATTTTCCAATTTCCCATTTGGAACAGGTGTTGCCAGGTTATAGAAAGTGTTGCAGAAAAGGAACAAAAACATTTTAAAAACTCTGTGCTGTTACAAATTTTGGCAAGTCTCTGACAGATGAGATTTTTTTAAAAAGGTTTGCCCCACCCAAATTAAAACAAGTGCAGACCTTGCTTACTTTTCCCAGCTGTCATGTTTAAATAGGGTTTTTAGTAATGCATGAGTCTTCAGAAGATCTAGCAGTACAGAGCTAATATGTTTTTATATGAAAATATGCAACTTCTCAATTGTTTTTCTCATTTAATTGGGGAGAGAAAGGGGGTGAATGAATTTTTTTTTTTTAAATGTCAAAAAACAAATTTCAGAAATACATGTTCTTGGAGTGGTTAAAAACCAACCCAAACTAGGCTTCAGGCAATGTTTTTTCAGCAGCTTTAACCTCAAAGCATAGAGCAGACAGCTTTGTAGGCAACTGTAATGCCAAGGTGATTATGGCAATGACTCACACTTCCCTGTAAGGCATCCAGCTATCAACACACTTGGAGAGCTGAGGCTCTGTGCATGCAGGCGGGGTGTCAGTCAGTACCCACTTGCCAGCCAGCTCTGAACTGCTGAGCTCATAACTGCTTTGATAGTGAGCTGGGATATTGGTGTATTAGAGAGCAACTCTGGTCCCCCCAGGCTTGCGAGAGGCTTAAGAGATGGGAGCTTGGGAAGGGGAAGTGCAAGACAGGTTTAACTTCCCTTTTCTTTGCTTAATCCTCATGGGACTTGTTTCAAGAGTCCCCTGAAATCTTCCTGTGAGCAGGTGGTTGGGTTTGGGTAATAAAGGTCTGACTGACTAACCACTAAGCTGGGGTAGCATGGGAAGTGAAAAGGGCTGCTACCATCATGTCCTGGTGAAACTCTTCCAATGGTTATGGAAAGAAGACTGGCAGTCAGTCCTCAGGAAGACAGTATGAACTTGGGAAAGAGACCTGGGTATTCCTATAGGCAGCTTAGACTACAGCTGAGGGTACAACAGTAAACTACTGCCAGATGTTGGGATTTGCAGGGAACAAGCAGACAGAAAATGGGGACTCATTCATGTGCATTTTGGGTTTCCTCATCTCCAAAAGATAAGGCAGAAGCCAAGCTGCCTTCAGAGAAGGGAAACAGCAGCGATCGTGGTATGGAGGAAGTCTAGGCGAGGAATTGGGAGACTGGGGTTGTTCGCATTGAGAGACTGACAAGAAAGGAGTGCCACATTTACACAAAACAGGCTGCATCCAAACTGAATGCTCGGGAAGAAGAGGTATTCAGAAAGATGACAAATTCAAACTTCTGAAAGGAAATAGCTTTTCACATAGTGTGCAATTAGATTGTGGGATGCATGGAATGCAATTGCCAGCTGGGCAGGATGTCATTGGGAAGGAACAGAACGTGGCTTTGGGAGTGTGCAGGTATACTGTTGCAGGTGGTATCCACAGATGACATAAGTAATGCTTTAAAAACAAACAACTAGTGATATAAAGCTGGCCACATCCATGGTTCAACTACCAAGGCCAATCTTGATAGGTTATTTGGGTTCCTCCATCCTCGGTGATAAGTTTCTTGCACCTCTGACTAAAATTGTCTAGTACCAGATACTGTTTGCGGCAGGGTGCTGGGCGAGCTGGGCTCTTGTGACTCAGTATTGCCCTTCCCGTGTGGGTTGTGTTTGGCTTTGCACATCTTATGTTTTCAGAGGTGAGGCAGAGTGAGTAATGTTTCCGTTCTATTAAAGAAAATGGAACAGCAAAGACCCTTAATTTTTTTTTTTAAAGATGTACGTGTTTCATTTTAAGTTCCCTTCAGGCAAAGTCAGCTTTGGTAGGCAGCTTAAACTGCATTATAGACCATATTGCTGTTGTGATAAAAACAAAATACACTGTGCTCTGTTTTGGGAAACCAAACAAAACCAATATATTTTTTTTCTCCCTCCCTCCTTTTTTCACTTCTTCAGTTTTTAATAAGTGACCGTGACAGAGACCCACAGTGTAACCTGCATTGCTCCAGGTCCCAGTCCAAACCCCTCTGTGCCTCTGATGGCAGAACATACGAGTCAATGTGTGACTACCAGAGAGCCAAATGTCGGGAGTCAAGTCTGAGCGTGACACATCGTGGCCGGTGCAAAGGTAGGTGGATTTCAAATGCCTTTGAGGGGAGGAATGGGAGTCCTACTTTACAAGAAACTGGATTCTTAGACCCTTGAGTTTAGTACCATGCTCTGTGAGTAATCTGACTGAAATTGTGCGTTCATGTGAGCATGGGTATCTGAGTCTGCGTTTAGGTGGCAGGAGTAAGAACCAACCGAATTATCAATGAAAGAAGGCAAAGGAGCCAGAGACATCACTGAAAAAGGGCAGAAATATGTGTCTGCAGAGCAGAAGGAGCTGGCCCCATGGAAATGCAAAGTCAAATCCTGAAAGAAGAGATCTTCCTTGCTACCTGTGCCGGTGAGGAACTGAGATACCTTTGAGTGATAGGAATGCAGAGTGGGGAAGAATGTGTGGTGCACACTAGATGTCTAGTCCCTTTTCAGACATACATAGCCTTTCTGTGCTGAACTAACTAAAAAGACAGAATGCATGCAAGGCTTTACATGGCCTCTCTTTTGCCTGTTTGCTGTTACACATCTACTTAAAAGTGAGAATATTGTTTTTCTCTCAATTCAGCTCTTCAGCATAGTCTAAAGATGAAGTTGCAGCTTTTTTAAGGAATACTGGTGTCTTGTCACACAAATGGTTTGCTTCTGCACTGAAGTGAAAAATCAAGTTCAGTGCATTTTCTGAGAGCACAATTGACTCAGAGGGCAGATGGCACAGATGTTTTTAGCAATTGGTTAAAGTGACAGGAGAAACTCATTAAAATCCCCGTGGAAGGATAAATAGGCATATGTTTAAGCCTGACTTTTGTTTATGAAGTTTTTTTTACTATTATAAAAATGTATCTTTGTCAGAATTACTTGTTCTAAAATGGAAATCCCTTTTCAGTGTATTGACAAGCTTTATAGTTTAGGTGAATTATGAGCATGACCTCAAATATTTCTCTCTTAAACATTTTCTCATGGGGAAAAAAGCTTATTTGTATGATTTTTTTTTTTCTTTTTCACCACTGGGTTGCTTTATGGCAACTTCTCTTCCATAGCATAGAAAAAGGCCTTTGAATCATGCTGCTTTCTGAGTACTGGAAACTCAGAAGCTTTCTTCCCAGGGCCCAAGAAGTGGTTGGACTGTTCTTGCAAGTGATGCATTTTTGAGTATGCCATGGTTTAACCCCAGCCAGCAACTAAGCTCCACACAGCTGCTTGCTCACTCCCCCTCTGTGGGACGGGCGAGAGAATCAGAAGAGTAAAAGTAAGAAAACTCGTGGGGTGAGATAAAGCAGTTTAACAGGTAAAACAAAAGCTGTGCACACGCAAGCAAAGCAAAACAAGAAATTCATTCACTGCTTCCCATCGGCAGGCAGGTGTTCAGCCATCCCCAGGAAAGCAGGGCTCCATCACGCGTAATGGTTACTTGGGAAGACAAAACACAATAACTCCGAACGTCCCCCCCCTTCCTTCTTTTTCTCGCAGCTTTATATGCTGAGCATGACATCACATGGTGTGGAATATCCCTTTGGTCAGTTGGGGTCACCTGTCCCGGCTGTGTCCCCTCCCAACTTCTAGTGCACCCACAGCCTCCTCGCTGGTGGGGTTGTGTGAGGAGCAGAAAAGGCCTTGACTCTGTGTAAGCACTGCTCAACAGTAATGAAAACATCCCTGTGTTATCAACACTGTTTTCAGCACAAATCCAAAACATAGACCCATACTAGCTACTGTGAAGAAAACTAAGTCCATCCCAGCCAAAACCAGCACAGAGTATCACAGTAAGAAGTGGTAGGGTGGGAGTCCTGCTTTTGCTTTCATCACTTGAGCAGAGTGGCTTAGATAAGCAACTCCGTAGCTGATATTGGCATATAAACTAGCACTGTTCAGTCACTTAAAACATGGGATCTGAAATGTGGTACATCCATATGTAAAAGTGTCTGTTTCTGGAAGTAGAGAATGTTGATTGCCAAACTACACAGCCTACTGTATATTGTGATTGTAGAGTCCCAAAGAAGTAACTAAAGACTTTTTTGTTTTAAGCACAGGTAAAGTATACTTTCCATTCTGCTCTCTGACACAACTGAAATGTTTAGCTGAAACTACTCGTTCTGCTTTCCTCTTACCCGGTGGTACTATACAGTACCTAATAACCTGGGAGTGTTTGACAGCTGCAAGTCTTGCTTTTAAACCACTAATACTCCATGAATCCCTGGGAAGTAGGAATATTCTTTTAACTATCACATTCAAATTTAACCTTACTGCTAATTTCCATGTGTGCTGCTATTGAAAGGCATTTTGTTTTTCTAGTCGCATTAGGAATATGACCTCTAGTTGTGCATAAAGATCGCTGTTCTTGGCAAATACACAGTTGTGGGACAGGTGTGCCTAACTATAGGTGGTTGGCCAGGTCTGTATCTCGTACTCGCACAAAGGAAGGTATCACCAGCAGTGTTCGAGCACCTTCTACTGCTGCAGTAGGGCACCAGGTTTACCCTGAACAGCCTTCATTCCTTCTGCATGACAGAGATGCTCTACGGGGGAACTCCCATAGAACTGGAAGGGATCCCATGGGCCATCAAGCCCAGTTACATGCAACTGTGATAGATACCGTATCCAAGAACTTATCTTTATGAAATGAGCAATTTTAACTTGTGCTTCCTTCTCTGAGGGGGAAAAAAAAACCCAGGTAACTAAAATAAGGAAAAGAGGAAGTATATTGTGGATAGCAAGGCATAGTGCTGCACCCCAGATTGTCATAGGTTTCCAATTTCATATGCTGATAACTTGAACTGTGCTTGTGCCAAGGCAAGTAGAATGGTTTCCATGTGAGAACAGAACCTTTTTGATTCAGCTTAGCTCTCTGCTCTCTCTCAAGAAGCTAAGGACCTTAAAAGATGAAATCTTGCCAGCCCTTTGGGAACTATAACTCTTATTCAGCTCTTGCTCCTTGCTAGCTTCCTCACATGCTTTTCAATGGAATTCCTTCACTGCTAAATTACCTGAACTCCCTCCGAACCCTCACTCACACATCACAAAGGGTTAAAAGTCAGGAGTAGCTTAAAATGATCAAACTACAGCATCCATGACAAATGGAGCCTCACTGAGATTCCAGAGAATAGTTCCAGATGGCTAGCTGTGTGTAAAATACACAGCCAAGCACTCCTACCTGGATCTTTTGTCAGCAGGCATCTTAAGATCTGATGTCAAATAAGAGTTCTGCCTCAAAACTTTGAAGGTATGAAGGACAAATACTTGTTAAAAGAGTCTTGGCAAGTTGTCAAGATTATGCAGTAGTTGTTAGGGTATATTGCATATCTGTGGCTTAAAACACATTTAAGTTCTCTGTTAACTGGTTGGCTTCTAGGAACTTGTTTGGCCTATTTAATTAAAAAAAAAAAAGGTGTGGGAGTGTTCTAAAAACTTCCCTTTAGATTTATAATGGTTGGTTTTGAAAGTCTGCTGGTAAAGAGCTTGTTCTTAGATCACAAGGCACTATGTAGAATGAACCTATCTAAGTTACTGGTGGGAATTGTAACAGGGGTCTTCAGCCCATCTCCTGGGACACCTGGATGAACACAACTTTTGGCTAATGTGCTGGGAAGGAAGGTCTCCTTCTGACTAGTGATGGGTTGTTTCAAGGTAGTCTTCCTCTTCTACCTACTGTTCTTGTTGGACAGAGATGATATTTTGAAATCACTTTTTTATTTTGTCCACTTGCTAGATCCATGTGTTTTGAACTTTCTTATTCCTAGTCAAGGGAGAATAAAGTGGGTCCCTCCTTGGCAGCAGTTAGTCATTCAAAATCTGAAATGATGCTTTCAATCACTTTGCAAATTTAGGCATGTTTTTAAGTATGCTCCAAATAAATTAGGGAACTCTGGAGTAGAAATGGTATGTCGGTATCAAAGAAGGAGCAAAGCACATCAGCATGAAAGGAAAGAAGTTGGAGATTGCAGGTATAAGACTCGTCAGAAATTAAGTGGAAAACAATGGGGAGTGGAGAATGATTGACACCCTGTAGGACAGATGGACATGTGTTTGTAGTTTGCTCAGGTTCTATTTTTGCCTGCTTGAGGCAAAGACACAGATCACTGGCTGGAGTAAATGGGTATGAATCTGCTGACTTCAGTGTAGCTGGTCTGCTTCATGCCTGGTGGGGACCTGGCCTGTACGTGAGACAGTTACCTAATGGAACTAGAAATAGTTCAAAAGCTGCTTGGATCAATTTTTGCCCTTTGAGCTTTTGATAAAAACAAAGTAGAACTAAAATAGCTAGATTTTTGTGGTTGCACTGTGTAGATTTGCTGCTAGTGTTATGTGGATGCCTGGAGATGTTGTACTTTGTATTATTAGGATAGGTTGGGTCTTTACGCCATGATGTTGTATGGTGTCAAAACTGCCTCTACTTGTTAAGGAGAGAATGCTGGAATTCTTGGGGCCTATTCAGGAGTGTACTGTGTATATTATGAGAGACATGGTGGTCTCATTTGAATAAACTGCTCATTGATAAGATCAACCATGGTAACTAACCAACTTCATTGCAAAATCCAAAGTTATGTGCACCTGCATTCTGCAGATTAGGCCACAGATGTCAAAAACATCACTTGTAGTTCACAATCTCCTAGTTGCCAGCTACCAACTTGAGAATGAATTTTCTTTAAAAGGCAGCTTTCTGAGCTGTAGTAAATCTGTCCTAAGTTTGAAGATATTTAAAGTCAAATTATTAAACAGCTCTGCTTTTAAAAAAGTCATCCTGTTTTGGTTTTTCACCTTATGTATGGGAGGGGAGAAAGTCCTATTTAGTCTGTCTGGACTGCAAAACTGGAATGTATTAATGCCATTCTGTTTTATAAGCTTGGTGTTTGATACTCCAGAGAACATTTTTAAGAAGAGGGAAGAAAAAGTGCTGAAACACTCAGGTAAACAATCAAAATGCAGAATGTGGTATATGAATCTACATCATAACATCAGGCTTTAGTAAAATTTGTAATGCATCTTATTTGGGGTGAGCTATTTGGCAGCTACTTTTTAACACTTGGCACTTATGTAATACTTTACATTTTCTAATTAACAAAGCAAAAATAGCAAGGTGAAGTCATCCCACTGAAATCCCATGTTGATGCAAACATTATAAAAATACCAGCCTGTGGAGTGAGGAAGAGAAGGATTGACAGTTCTTTTAAAAACAAACTGGTAAATGTTGATATTAAAGGCACTGTTTTTACTGGAACTGAACTGTGAAATGACAGACAAAAAAGATAGCGGTATGCACACACCTCTCCAGCCAGCACAGTATATAGGTGGTTGTTCCAAGTCAAGGCTGTAAAAGGACTGGCATGACCTTTGGAAATCAATGAGGGAGGACGGTAGAAGTAATCAGGGCTGAGTGTTCATGAACAGGAGAAAAATTGTCTGTTTTCTCTGCACTTCAGCAGCAATTTGTGAAGAGATATCATTTGAGCCAAGGGTTGAATTGCAAAAGAGGATGCTGCAACAACGATGAGCTCTTAAACGCTGTGGTGTAGTGGTGGTGTGCTACGCAGTGTGGTTTACTGGGTGGTAGTAGAGAGTTCAATCTATAAAGGCCAGTTAAAATTGCCAGGAGGGACATAGTCACCTTAGTAGTAACATGTTTATATTATCTTCTCCTTATAGTAAGGGCTTGATTGTGTGCACGTTTGTCTGCTCATTAGACAAACTGGACAAAGATCTGAGTTAGTCTCCCCTCTGCCTGGGCTTCTAATGTATTTGTACTACAGGGGATACTGCAAAATGTTTGTTCCTACCAGCTATGTGGTGAAGCATCCAGTTTCAGTCATGAAGTTGTGAGTGTGCCAGCACTAAAGTAGATGCTATGTGGAAATGCTTTACGCTTCTGTTTTATGTTCAGGAGAAGAACCAGATATGCCTGTCTGCAGTCCTGTATCCTCAAATGGAGAGACTAGAAAACACACTTTCATGTGTGAATCTGTGCTTTGATTGTCATGTGAGAAATTCGCAACTCTTTTTTTTTCTTTCCTTATACGTGCAGATCTGCATAATCTATGCTGATTTTTTTTTTTTGCTACTTAGCTGTCTCCTGTGAAGCAGAACTTGAAGGTGTTTTTAGTTGGACAGCTAGCTATAAAACAGAAGGTGCAGCCATACCATCTGGTTTTGTAATAAGGTCCTATGTCATGACAAGCAAGATTAGACTCTTAAGCTTGAACAGGAGATCTGCAGGTGATAGATGTTCCAGTTAACAGCATTGGCAGTGCTTTCTTTTCAGCTGAAAGAATGAGCATGTGTTGGAAGGGTCAGTACTGCTGGTAGGACTGTTTGCCAGTGGAGGGGTGCAAATAAGGTCTGATCATCTGGTCACTTTGGCAAGCAGAGGGAAAAGGGAGATTCCAGCTTAGAGGTTATATCATGGCTAATTAGAAAAAAAAACCTGCTTCTCTAAATTCAGCGTAAATTTTATTCAAGAAAGTGTTTTCATTCTGTGAGTAAAAATCTTGCTCTTTATACAAGCTCATAATAAGTTCACCTGAGATCAAAGCTCCATGTGCTAAGGGTATTGTGCAAACACCCCACAAACAAATTACAGTCTAAAGATGACAGTGACATAGGATCATGAAGGGACACAAGGTCATACGGAGGTGAGGTGACCGACTTGTAGTCATTCAGTGGGTCAGTGGCAGAGTTGATATAGGCACTCTTGATTTGTAACCCAGTGCCTAAGCTACAGGCATCTGTGCTGAATACTATTGCTATCAATAATGACTTTTTCCAAAGAGAAGGGTTTGATTTCCATAATTTCAGAAGACTTGTAAAATCCTCCTTGGTGAATAATGTGATATGTTTAAAACGAAACTGTGTTGGCAAACCGGAAACTTAGTCTCTTGAGTCATCAGTTGTGTAAATAAAGTACTCAGCTTGAAAGCGTTGGTCTATGTCTTTATCAAAACTATTTACAGCATTGTCATTGGTTTCTGCGTCTAGATATGGTTAGATGGAAATCGCTTCTATTGTGATGCAATGTGAATTCAGTCGATCTGAGAACCCAGACTGGCTTTCTAATTCAGTGCTGGTATTAGTGATTCTGTTGTTGAAGTTCATGTGATCTGTGAAGCAGAATATGGGATCTTCAGGGATCCAGTGGAAATTTTAACCAGTGTGACTTCCGTGCCTGGTAGAATGGGGATTCAACCTTGATCACTCCCTATGAAACTGCTGAAAGATTCTGATGATCAGATTTTGCAGTTTCTGCACTGAAAATCTTTCAGTTGGTGGATTAATGGGAAAAGGAAGAAGGTGCTAGTCCCTGTGTCAGAGTCCCATGGAAACAGATGTTTGGTTTTTTCTTCTCTTTCTAGACTGAACAGCAGTACTGTTAGATATCACGTTTTTAAATGTAAACACTGAGTCAATCTGTATCTTTGCAGGGCAGAACTCTCCTCTGACTCATCAGTCATACATGTTAGGCTTATCTGGGTCTATGCTCTGTAACAGTGAGCTGGACCTGGAAGGGGTTAAGGTCATGCTACATGCTGCCATCATCTGAAACAAGTGCAGAGCTGAGATCTTAACCCCTTCAAGCTCTGCTTTTTTTACACTCTCAAAAAACCAGAGCAATATTGTTTGTTTTTTTTTTTCTTGGCAGTAAAGTGAGTAACTGATAAGAGAAAGTATAATGCACACCTGGCTCTACACACTGGGACTAGAGGTGGAAGCTGGGTTTCAGGAAAGCACAGGCAATGGCATATCTACCTTACCTGAACCACACAAAGGTGGAAGTTCAGATGGGTGGCTGGTTATTTTAGCATCTTACTGGGAGAGTTGCTCAGAGAAGAGGCTTTGCTGGGGCCATACCTTCTTCCACGTTGCTCACTTCTGGGCCTGAATTACTTGGCTTATGCTCAGCCATCCAGTTTCAGGCTGTTGATATTAACAGAAATACAACTCCCCTCTGGGAAGGCCTTTCACTGCGTGGAGGTTGTGTTCCAGCACTTGTTGGAAGAAGCTTCCAAAGCCCTTGGATGACCATAAAAACTATCGCCTAGGAAATTAGGCAGCTCTTCATTAACTGGCTCATAGATTGATTTTCTAGGTTCTTATTTGTCCTTGGGATCATGAGTGCTAACTCCATAGCTGCCTCGTTAATGTGCAGGTAATGGTCCTTGATACCTTATGTTTGTTTGTTTGGGGTTTTTTCCCCCTGCAGCTGCATGGTGCATGTGGTAGCTTTTGAAGAGGCCAAATGGTGTTTGCAATCTAAGTGGGTTTTGCTTTTCCCTTTGTAGATGCTGGCCAAAGCAAGTGTCGATTAGAGAGAGCTCAAGCACTGGAACAGGCAAAGAAGCCCCAGGAAGCAGTTTTCATCCCAGAATGCAATGAGGATGGATCGTTCACGCAGGTAAAATTTCTATTGGCTTCCTTCAGCCAGGCTCCCAGTGGGCTGCAGGAGATTCACTGTTAAGGCATGAGCCAAGTGATGGTAGCAGCATGGGTACGCACTCTGACTCAATTACTCAGGTGAAAGTGCTGAAAGCTGGGGGCTTGTTTAACCAACTGGAAGCTTTGATTCGGTCACCATACCTTAAAAGACACATACATATGTAAAGGCATCCACCTCAAGTGTAGCACAGAAACAAATGGCATCAATCTCCAGCATAGCACAGAAACAAAACCAAGTTGCATGGGAGGTCAATTTTCCCAGAAGATGAGCTGCAAAGACAGCTGTGGCACTCACAGAACAGGGTGGACCAAGCTTCTGCTGTTACCTGTGCTTCATCTATCCCAGCAAAAAGAGTGGTCTATTGAGCCTCTTCCCTCTGCAGGGTACTTGTTAGTGACAGACTCCTCTTTCTTGTTCTATGCCCTGTAGTGGTTTGGGGGTCTGGCGGAGAGGTGATGAGTGCTTTGTTTGGGTTTTTGATTCTTCACTGTTCACTTGCTGAAACTAATGATGTGCTGGGATTGTAGACTCTTTCATAATGCTGCTTCTCTTGAGAAGCAATTATCTCAGGAGGGGTAGCAGAGGAGGCTTATGCTTTGTTGGCCATTAATATCTGAAAAATGAATAGTCAGTCCTGTTCACTGAGCATCCTTCAGAAATAGTTGGACTGGGAGAGGTCCTACAGAATTTCAGAGAAGTTGAAGTAGTTATGGCAAAAAGAAAGCCCTCATGAAGGAGATTTTGAGAGGAAGAGTAGTTTGCCAAGGCAGGGTAGAAATCAAGAGTAATACTTGGTTCTGTTACCACTAGCATATTGAGTCATGTCCCAGCCCTAACTGAACTGGGTGTTAAAAATGGCTCATGTGCAGTTCCCTAACAGGTAGGAGGAGTATGCTCTCTGCTCAGTTTGGCATGCATCTCAAAAGCCAAAATCCTGCAACCCTGATGACCTCTACTTTGTGAACTTAGGTAAATCACACAACTTTTTTTGCCTTAGCTTCCTTATATCTAGCACTGCCCTAGAGATCTTGTGCCTCAGAAATTGTAGGATTCATTAGTTACTGTTTGCAAAGTCTTTTTAAGGTAAAAAAAATAATTCCAAAATATAATCAATATTGGCTTCAAAAAGATGAGACACAAAAAGCTTTGGGGTTGGTTCAAACGCTTTGTGATGCCTGGGGAAAGAAAGGAGAGATTTTTTGTGATAACCTACCAAAAATTTTTATTCCCCCCTCAACCTTACCCTCCCATTATCTGGTGTGTGGGAGTGTTTTTGTTTTGTTTTTTAATGGTGAAGTGGGAAAAGTTTTATCCATCCTGCCAACTTTGCATACTTCTTTGGAGCAGCATCATATTTGTGTACAGTGTGGACCATTTTGGGAAGGTGGGGGTAAGAGAGAAGGTGGCTGCAGTTTCTGACAGTCTAACGACACTCTCAATTGTTGAAATTTGATTTTGTGTAGAGCTGCTCAGGTTACGTTGGCACTGGAGGGGAATACTTATAAAACCTAACACAGTCGGCCAACTAAGTGTTCCATATTAAACTTTATGAAGGAAAGCTGACTTTCCAATGTCTCTGTCAGCTGTCCATCAACCTCTTGGAGAGTAAAGTACGGGGTGCAGGTGAAATTTTTATCCTAATAAGCTGGATTGAGAGTGCAGTTGATAAAGCTTTGTTTCAGACAGGTTTATTTGGAAGGTTTGTACCGGTGCCTGGATTGCGGAGCAGTTGATGGGCCTCTTTCCTGCACATTCCCTGGCCAGTGTGGGTTGCCAGTGGAGGGGCAGCATGAAACTGCTTACAAAAATTGTGTCTTTACAGCTGGCAGCCAAGCGATATTTCACATTCTTCCTCCGTTCAGACCTATCTGTGAACACTAAAATGCTTTTGTTTTACCTGGCATGATAAAGGAAGCCTCTGATGCCTTTGTAGCTAGAATTAACTGAAATTCATATAATTCCCTGGATCGTAAAAATACCCCATGTTCCACATACTTCAGGAACCAGCTTCATTGTTTATATTGCAGCATTTAAGGTCATTGTCCCTGCATAAGATTGGAATGAAAAACAATGTCTGAGGAAGCTAACTGGTTTCAACCTGCATTTGAAACAAATATTTCTTTAGCTTCTGGTCCAAATGAATTAAACTTTGATTTTAAAATTATGTATAAAAATTAGAATTTTGGTGAACAGTCTAAACAGTTTTTGCTTCCAGGAATTCATTAATAGGTCTCATCTGGTGGAGGTGGTTTGGATATTGCATCTCTTGTGCAGAGAATTGGCAGCCCCGGCTTCTGCTCTGCAGGGAAGCTGTGTAGGCCAGTTCTTGAAGTCCCTGAGGCCTTGCTGAAGTCAGCTCTGGACTGTTATTAGTTTATTCTGGTTCAATACCCAGAGAGTTGCTCCATCCAAACTCCAAAATCTCAGTTGGGAAGTCCAGAACAGAGCATCTCTCAACGAAGTTTCTAGGGGAAATACCCACCATGCTCTTCAACCTTGAATCCCCATCCCAGCAAGAATCTAAGCAGATGCATACGATTCAGGGTATACCCTGTATGTAGAGTTGGCTAGGGAAATCTTTTCAACAACTTCCCCCCCTTCTATGTAGCTGTTATTGGAGGAATATTTTGGGTAGAAGAAAAATTCTGATCAGAGGGGAAACAAAGATACGTGCATATATTTAGAATATCAAATGTCTTAATTGTTTTAGCACTCTCTAAAGATGTGGATGACTTGCTTTAAGGTCTTGAGCTGAGCCTCTTTTTTGAGATGCATACACAGTAGGTGTTCAGACCCCCATCATCATCCTTGCTATCAGACTTCAAAAAGTCTGGGGTTTTGTCTAATTGATTGTTGCAAATTCTTGGAAGTTTTGGAGGAGTGAAAAACATGAACAGTGCAGATTTGGGAGCTGCATTTGGTAGTGGTAACCATATGTTCACAGAACCTGCTTGGTCTTAACCAGATTGAACTGTTGCTTTTTTGGTTTATCATCATCCTCTTGATTAGAAACTAAATTGCAATCACTATGGGTAAACATTGAAAGCAGCACTAAGTGAGGCTGTTCCTCTGAAAGCAGCTCAAGTCTGTCCTTTCCAGCTCCTGGAATTGCACGCAGCACAAAACTGTGTGAATTTGGGGCCTGATCCACTGCAAATTGGATGGGGCTGTAGGGTGGTGAAGAGAACATAGCTACTCTGCTGTTCTGTGACGGGCAGCGGCTGCAGAGGGGAGACCATGCTCACCTTATCTCCTCCTACTTCTCTGCAGGGCAACTGACTCTCAGACCCAACGGTTAGATGTGGTAACAAGGGTGAAAAGGAAGAGGGCCTGAAGGCAAAGACCTTGGTTTGGCTTGCATTTAAACCCTGCATTAGAGATACATCCTGTGTGTCTTAAAGACTTGTATAATCTGTCTTTTTTTCATTGTCTGTAAAATCTAGACTGAAAAGAGGTGTTGCCACCAATTCTATTGCTTGGATGGCCAGTTTTCCTAGGCACGGCTAGTTATAATGGGTTTTGTGTACTGCATGAAGAGGAGCAGGCACCTGTTAATTCACTGGTTTTCATAACTGTTTCTATGCACCATGTGTGCAGCTTCCCTTATTCTGGGAGTTTGTGTATTGCAAAGATCTTATCCTTTTTTAGCACTGCCTACACATCTAAAAATGTGGCATGGATTTGCAGCATGGAAGAGGTGGTGGCATTGCAGGTATGATGGGATGACTGTAAATGGGAGAAGACCTGATGAATTGCTCTGGAATTGCTATTTCTTTGTATTTCAGTCTGTGTATGTAACTGTCAGTCTCTTCTCCCAAGTAACAAGTGATAAGACAAGAGGAAGTGGCCTCAAGTTGCACCGGGGAGGTTTAGATCGGGTATTAGGAAAAATTTCTTCACCGAAAGGGTTATCAAGCATTGGAACAGGCTGCCCAGGGAAGTGGTTGAGTCACCATCCCTGGAGGTATTTAAAAAATGTGTAGATGTGGTGCTTAGGGACATGGTTTTAGTGGTGGACTTGGCAGTGCTAGGTTAACAGTTGGACCCGATCTTTTCCAACCTAAACGATTCTATGATTCTATAACAAAAGCTCTCTGCACTTAGCCCACAGTAATACAAGCATGCAGTTAAAATTTGAGTTATTCGCAACATAGAATGTTTGTTTGATATGAGTAATTTGATTAATTGTATAAAACTGAGGTCACGTACTGTGGTGCAAAATTGGACATGACTAAAACCAGTTTCTGTTCCCAAGACTTGCTCTCTCTTTTTTGCTGTTATGCTGTATTTTGCATAAATGCCATTCCCTTTCCATGCTGCACTTAACCTGCTGTGATCTGTTCTTCATAAACAACAGGCTCTATTGGGTAATCTGCACACTTTCTTTTGCTGCCTAGTGCCATTGGGCTCGTTGCCATGGGCTGAGACTTGCATTCTTCATAGTTTTCCCCCAAGCAGTTTTTTTAGAAAAGGTTGCTGAGGTTTTAAACGGGATCCGCTTCAGACAGATTAATATGAACATGAATAATGTTAACCCTGCTTTGGGGCTGTAGTCTTGTGGAGCTTTTTGTGGTGTGTCTTGCTATTTGCCGCCACTTTCCACTGTCTAGCTGTGGTTTCTTTTCCTTGCAAGCCTGCATACAAGTGACTGACAGCAGGTCTCCTTGGAGAGTTTCTTTGAGTTTAGGGCTCTCAAAACTGCAGCTGCTGGTGCATTTACTATGCAGCACTGAGATTTTTCTTAAAGCGAGTGCATCAGTCAAACCTGTCATCTTATGATGGAATCGGTGACTGGGCTGACATTGTCAGAACAGTTTTCTGTTATCAGATAGCTTCCAGAGCACTCCCACATCTGGTAATACAAGTCTGTTAATCTATATTACAGTCTATAGCAATAGTTTCATTCTGTGCTATGCTAATGCGTGTACAAAGTAGTGATTTCTCCTAAGTCTCACAAA